CAGAGCGTAGTCCCAGAACGGCCACTGTCGGAAGACTCGGCAGAGGATCTCCGGAGTTTGGAAGACGGTTATGCTCAGAGCATGGCGGCGGTGGCAGCAGTGGGGCCGCGGCGGTGCCCTGGCCCAGCCCTGCAGAGAGTGTTGGGCATGGTGAGGCAGGGAAGCACGCGAGCTGGAGGCGGAACAAGTGCTCGCTCAACCTCTCTTTCCAGCCGGGCAGAGCGCTGCACGGCTTAGCTCCTTTGGGATATTACTGGGTTGGTGAGTGGCGCTCTGCCCGGCTGGAAAGAGGCATTGCCGGGTGGCTACTCATGAGAGTAGCTGCCCGTCAACCCCCTGCTCCAGCTGGGCACAGCGCCACCCACCAACCTAGCAGTATCTCAAAGGTGCCAAGCAATGTGAGCGCCTTTGCCCCCCCCTCCCCCCAGCTCCTGCGGCTTTGCGACTTTGGGATATCACTAGGTTGGTGAGTGGCGCTCTGTCTGGCTGGAGGGGGGGTTGTCCAGGGGGCTTATTATTGGGGGAGGGTGTATTTTTTTGCCTACAGGAAAATATGGCATGGTCTTATTATCAGGACATGTTGTATTTTTGGGTAGAGAAAAGTTTTATATAAGTTTCAACTTACCATAAGCTAAATAGCATATTTTGAAATACCGATCCAGGCTGACTGCAGTCATGGTAATGAGACTTCCAATTCCAAAGAAGAAGCCAGCCCATCCATACCAGCGGCAGCCACTCCAACCAAAGATCCAACGATGGGAGAAGAAGGCAATGATACTAAATGGCTTTCCTGCCACTGTAAAAAAAACAACAGAGGCAGGTAAAGGTCCAAAAGAATAAAGAAAACTGCATTTAATCCCCTTCAAGAAACATAAAAATTAAGAAAGAAAGGAGAAGAGGGGAGGAGAGGGGAAGGGAGGGCAGGGGGAGTGGGAGGGGAAAGGAAAGACAAAGAGAGAAGGAAGGAGGGAGGGAGGACGGACAGAAGGCAGGAAGGCAGGAAGGCGGGAAAGCTCAAACTGAAGAGAGATAACAAATCTTAAAAGGTACTGATAATTGCTTCCTTATCTAGTCACAGTTCAGGGAAGGTTATAAGCCTTTATGCTGGAAAATATTGCAGATATTTTTCAAAATCTAATTTAACAGCTATAACATGTCCACCAAACATTTTAGTTTCCAGATTTTCTACATATAAATTGATGTTTTCTTCAATAGGATTAACCACAATGAAGAAGTGGTTAAAAAGCCTTTTCCTGATCAGTGGTAAATTTCAGCTTTCAAAGTTGAGAGAAATTGCTGAGATCAAGATGTTTTCATTACATGAGCTGTTGTACCTATTTCAGGTTCTTCCAATTAGTTTATCGCCATTCATAACTAAAAGGTGGGAAAACATTACTTTTGACCGTAACATATGCAAATTAAAGTGAAGGCCATCTTACAAAGTAATGAATATTATGACAGAGGACAGTGGAATGGCTACACAACACTTGATCTTAGTCAAAAGGCCTAGAAGCGAATGGCAGATTTGCCTCAGCCAATGTTTTGTAGGTCATAAAGATATATGCTACCTAAGTGTTGTTTCTGCTGAGATATATCTAATGTTTATATATAGCCATATTAGAATGTAGCACACAAAATAAGTAAAACAACAACATGCTATATAGATTTGAATTCAACATTTGAAAAGTCACTGGATTGGAATGGATCAGATCAGACTGACATAAGCAGACTGAGTGAGCAAAAGTGGTATTATTTCCACCCAAGGGTGTTCTTATCATATACCCTGAAACCTGCTCCTGAAAGCAGGGATTTCCAGATTTCCATCAGTAGAAGTGCTTCTGCTAAACACTGAATATATCTTTGCATAAGTCTGTTTTTCCTTAATTTTTCTTTTCCAGTAGTATTAATGATATCAATAACATTTCAACACATGTTGAAATGCTTCATAACTTTCAATCTAATTCATATATCATTTAATATACAAAATGGAGGGACTGTACTATATTTAATCACTTTTATTGAACTTAAAGAAAGCTAAGATTTTCTTTGACTATATAAAAGAGTCATACATGACTACATGAATAAATTTGTTACTAGCTGCAAATAGTTGTATTTAGAAAATAACTGCTATAATTAACTTTTTTCTCACTTTATTTTATTGAGTCTTTAATTATCAAATTAGCAGAACATTCCTATTTTTTAAATTGATCATATTTTATTCATCATTAATTTATTAAATGTAAGGTTCAATTGACTAAATGATCAATACATCTGAAGAAAGAATAACGATCAATTTTATTGTACAGTATTATTTATATTTTTTTAAAAAATGATCATTCACATGTTGTTATATTCTGTAACAGCATTCCCCATTCTGGTGTCAGCTGTATTAGACCATAGTTTCTAAAATTTCTAGCTAAGCCTTGTGCATATCCATTAAATTGGAGGACACCAGATTGATGAAAACTGATTGATGTATAATGCATTCAACTATAATACTGCCTTTACTAAACTCCAGATTATTATGCATCTAAAATATGCATTGTTTCAATGATTATTTTCCATGCTGATTGGCATTAATCATTTGTAAACACAGAATTTTTTTCAAAATGGTGGTGATATTTTGCTTATAACTACTACAGGCCTAGATGCCGCTTACAGGACCCCAAAATTTCATTTTCAGCTGAGCTAAAGTGAAATTACCTGAAATTCCCAAGTCACAGACTGCTAGATTTACCGTCATGATCTCTGCTGGCTTAAGCTTCCTTTTCCGTTGTATAGATATATAAATAACATATCCGTTGCCTAAAGTGGACAGGATCCCTACAGTAAAGTAAAATTCGACAACAAGAGTGCTATCAGAATGGACATAGAAGACATTTTCCTAGAAATGAATGTTCAGTTTTAAAACATGAAGATCTTAAAAGAGATAAACAGGATTAAAAGATCTGGAAAACAATAATGCTCTATAGCAGGGTTGTCAAACTCACGTCATCACGATATGTCATCACGTGACGTATTGGGTCTTTTTTCTCTCTTTGCTAAACTGGGTGTGGGCATGGCCAGCATGTGATGCATCCGGCCTGTGGGGCGGGAGTTTGACAGCCTTGATCTATAGCAAACCCAGAAACCTTTTTCTCCCTCTGAAAAGCTATATTTTTTTGTAACCAAAGTTTGGGAATAGAATATTCTAT